TTCGTGTGCTTATAAAGGGCAGCCCGTGTTGTGGGTTCTTGGTTTCGGAATTAGCACATTTCTGGTGTATATCAATATCATGATTTTACGAGGGCAGGTGCAAGAAATTAAACAGCCGATCTCTGACATTTTGAGAATTATGACCCAATTTAATACATAACTTTTATTACAAATATTTTAAAGACAACGTGCCCAGAATATCCCCCAAATGGCAGGTCCCACACTTTATAAACCACTGGTGTGAGGTGTATGATACACACCTTTCGGCAGTTGGCTTTACTCCTTTCTTCAGGTGATTAGTTGCGATGATTTTTTTATAATAATGACGACTGCTGAGATCAAAGCCTGGGCTTCATCTCTTTTTCACTCCAAGGGCTGGGCATTAGCCTGTTCCGTCCACATTTGTGACTCGGTCTCTTCTTCCATCTTCCCACATCCGTCTTATCAGTATACTCGTACTTTGGGAGTCACAGCGTGTTAGGAATGCGGATTCAGTTTCTTTGCTTCCTTTCATTCAGCGGGGATTGGTCGATCGACATAACGGCGGACTGCGGTTCCCGGAAGGAGATTTATATTTCAGACAGCATTCAGATCGGCTTTGGGGCCCTTCCGGCACACTAGCCAATGTGCACCGGGACCACATTCCCCGGAAGTAAATCATACCAGTCACTTCAATCTACTGCCGAGGTTAAGATCTGTAACTCCACTCACCCATACGTCTTTGTGGCGTGGCACTTAATTAAGCGCAGGGACAAATCAATTTTTGCTGCATGTTTTTGCCACTAGAATTGGTTGCAGAGTCGATGTTTGCTCTTTATGAGCGGCCGCTCATCGCAAAGTAGATCCGCTGATGGCAGCAGGAGTTAAGTTGTTCAGTGATCACATGATAAAAGCATCTGCAACGGGATTGCAACATTGCAAGTTTGTATTGTACCTGTTACTTGCGTAACTGTGTAACGGAGAAGAAAGGCATGAATTTACACAGTGAATACGTAATATCTACATAGAGCAGCCTTTGTCAATTCATAACTGACCTGTGTACAAATACATTTAACCATACAATTCGCATTCTCTGAAAACCAACGCACCACAGCGCTTCATTTAATATAACTGTACTTCCTCTCCCTTTCTTTGCTTCCTTCTAGACTATTGTACTCTTGATTGGTGCAAGCCTCAGCCACGTTGGTATCTCAGCTACACAAGACAATGCAGAGGCATATATGCCTCGAGTGGGATCTCAGCGATCGAGATACACACACTGCTGCACAGCAGAGGAGGAATTGTCAGTTATACCACCCATGAATCACACGCATGTTTTGATAGTCCCCACCCTAGGAGCCCCACTTCTCCCCCAGAAGTCATATTCTTGACCAAATAAATCAAATGGGTCCCTGAGGCATGTGACGTGTTCGGAGAAGAAACAGTCACCACTCTCTGCTTCATACGAACCAAAAACACCAACTGGTTACTAATGTATTGCCACCTCTGATATTCTGTGTGAAGGAGAATGAAGTAGAGAAAGGAAGAGACTATCTTCTGCGATGTGACGCAGTTTATGGGGTTTACTTTACGATGTTGTCAGTACCTTAGACTATGTAGCATCAAGGGACAAGAGTACTGGTGTTCATATGAGTACAATGGAGGAAGTGGTCATAAACTAAGCATTTGCCTATAGAGACGAAGGAAAACGAAAAGCGTCAGTTAAGATAGCCAACGTCCAGGTCGAGATTCAAACACAGATCATTCAAAATACAAGCGTAGAGCGTTACCTCTAGATCAGCCTGTTCGATGACGGATTGTAATTTGGTAAACAGTTACTAACTTTTCGGGAAGAACCAGCTACGTTTATCTTCAAGGTAGAACTCTTCTATACTGTCGAGTTATAATCCCAGAACGCAGAATTTTTCAAAACCGCCGCCGACAAAACTTCAAATTCTACTTCTCTCCTGTTGATTGAGACAGCTGGTTCCCCCTACACGGCGTCGCGCTCCGTGAGACCATATCTCAATAATCTCCGCTGCTAGAACTTCAAATCGATAGACATAGAAGCGGGATTTCCTCTCAGAAATGACATTTATTTATCAGTTAAGGATGCATTACTGGAGAATATCACTGTTGTTTCTGTGAAGGCTCACAAACACTCTGGTGCTGCATATGTACTAAATAACTCCTGCTATTGGTAAACAGCATGAAAGTTCAACACCATTAATTCGGAACGTCAAACGAAATATATTGTGGCATGCAGACCTATTGCCAAGAAACAACTGTGTAAACAGGCGACAGTACAACAGCCGTTGCTAGGGAACAACTCTGTGGACACGTTGTTTCTCCGACAACGAGAAAACTCGCAATGAAAGACACGTTTTCTATGCGGTCAGTGCCGAGGCTAAACGAGGACCAGCTACTATTACGACTTATGCTGCCAACACTTACATGAATAAATTACAGAAATTTCAAAATAAAATCTTCAGGATAATAACAAAATTACCGAGGGTAACACAAATTTCAACCTTACACGAACAGACGGGAATGTCATCAATAAAAAGTCATTTCAAGAGGTTAGCGAGGACATTGTACCAGAAGTCGGTAACCAGCGAAAACAGTCAGATTCAGGCACTAGGACACTACGATCCCACCGGTGATAAACATCTGCGTCCCTTATCCCTGTTTGCACGATAATCAGCTGTAAGATCTCTTTACAGGTAACAGGATGATTGAAACTCCCCAAACGCCCAGTACGCCCACGGCCACATCGACCAACCATCATCTATGCTGGACAAGGAAAGAAGATGTGATTAAATCAGAATTGTAATCATAAAATCGTGTCATTGGATGAGCAGCAAACCTTCCCCCCTCCACAATAGAGATTAAAATTTATCAATACTTAAACAGTTACAACACTTTGCAAATATGATATACAAATGTTTGCTGCTCATCCAAAGTGTGCAAAAAATGTAGAAACACATATGTAAACTTTTAAATTAAAGCAACAACCAGATAGGGTCTAATGTTAGGGTTCGCGTATTTAATGCCGGACTGCTGGCTAGAAGTCAGTTTGCATCCGGAAGGTCCTGCGACCGGGGAACTCGACCAAGGTTTTTCCGTAGTTTTCCTCGGTCCGAGAGCAAATGCTGAGTTGGTACCCAAATTCCACGTTGCACTGCATGCCTCACGTGCAGCCCTCCCATTGGTAACATCAAAATTTCGCCTTAATATAGCCCGCCTAACGTTAGAAAAAATTTTACTATAATGCACCCCTTCCAGCGTCATAAAAATATATGTAAAAAATCCGCTTATGCTCTATCTATACCAGAAGGACAAGCGGGCACTGCCTAGGAACCTTCAAAATAGCAGACAGAGTTTCTTACACCCCAAGCGGCGACCCGGTTTCGATTCGGGTCTGGCCAAGTGGGATTTGTGATGGACAACGTGGCGCTGGGGCAGGTTTTCTCCGAGTACTTCGGTTTCCCCTGCCAATCTTCATTCCACCAATTGCTCCACAATCACCCTCACCTATCATCTGGTGCCGGTACAATAGGCTAAAAGTGGCCGCAGTACAATGGACTTAGTCCCACCCCACTAACAATTTAAAAACAAAAATTACCCCCCCCCCCCAATGTAGTGTCTCTCACTACCACGCCACAAATTCTTCTTCTTCTCCTCCTCCTCTTGTACGAAGGAGTCGTCTTGAGGGTCTTGAGACGGCAGTTAGAAGAGTAGGTTGGCGTGGAATGGCTGCCAGCCTGCGAGGACGCGAGTCCGGGAGGAGAGGAAGGTCCACTGTTGGGGGCCGCTACAAAGTAGCGCAGTGAAGGCTGTGACAGAAAACGCTAATCTTTTGTGAGACTTGTAAAGTGTACATCCTGGAGTTATTTTAAAGTGTCTATTAACTTTCCTGTTTACTAATGCAGATGAATAGACAACACCCAGAGGTACTATGAAATTTACTTCGTACCCACTGTACTCGGTATAGCGACTGGCTACGGGCTGGACGACCGAGGGGGTCGGAATTTGAGTCCTGGTAAGGTCAAGAATTTTCCCTTCTCTACATCGCCCAGACCGACGCTGGGGTCCACCCAACCTTCTATCCAATGGGTACCGGGGGTCTTTTCCCTGGGGGTGAAGCGGTCGTGGCGTGAAGCTGACCATTCACCTCCAGCTAGCGCAGAGGTCAAGAAAATGTGGATCTATACATCCACTCCCCCATACGACTTCATGGCGTAGTGCTTAATTAATTAAGCACAGAGAAAACTTTACCAGTCCAAACCCCGTCTACAGGCAATCACGTGACAATATTATGTGAAATCTGTAAAGGTAAAATTGCGTCTTTGCTACTTAAGGATCGCACCATTGAGGCACATGAGAGACATTCTTAACCTCAGCTTGACGACCCGGCCGCATTACCATGGGAGAAGCTCACAGTAGCCATTCTATAGATGGGTGCGCCCCAGAACTACGCTGGACGCTATGGAGACGAGAAATATCTCGCACCTCTGCCTGGAATAGAACAGCATTCCTGGATAGTCCAGTCCATGGCCAAGAAAGTATACGAATGAGACATTCCAGCTCCAATGGGAGACCTATTCAACTTCCTAACTGGCCAGAGAAATAGCTTTCCACGGAAAGTACGACCCACCTTCACCACACAGCCTTACATGCACGCGCACAGTGCGCACCTGAGTTTCTGGGTCAGATAACACCGCAACTGAAATAACTTTACCCCACACAAAATACTAACGGCACAACCTTCATCTGTATGCAGCACACCCAAGGACGCTTTATCGAATATGAAAAGTGAGAAGGTACCCCGATTTTAGGGCTTTCCATTCTACTGTGCTTTGTAAAAATAGTTTTTAGACCTTTTTTAATCATTTTCCATAATTTTCCCCCATCTGTTAATATAAATACTGCCTTCTAGTACGTGACGTCGTGTAGTACGCCGAAAGTCGCCCTAATTTTATTTTGCAACATGTCACTGTAAACATACAGAAGTCACTCACCTCTCCGTATTCCGGTCTTCAGAAAGTATTGCTCTTTTCATATGTCCCTTTGTATTTTCATAAACTAACCTCAACACCACATACACAAGTTTGAAAATAGTGTACTTAACCTCAGCAAACTGCGCCAATTTGTAACCAAATGCTGTCAGCTTAAGTACGCAACACGTGAGGTGACGTGACCGCTTGTGGTGCCATCTTCCATGATGATGAACAAGCACATTATGAAAAATTAGTGATGTCAGAGGCATATTTCAGCTTCGGAAAGTCTACAGTGAATATAAGAAGTTGGAGGGCGAGCATAAGTCTGACTATTCAATAAAACTTACGGTAACGTAAAGGTATCCCTGTGCTTAATTAGTTAAGCACCATGCCATGATGATGTATTCGGGCGTGGAGGTACAGTTCCACCGTTCTTGACTTCTGCAAATGGTCACCTACGTACGCCGTTCGCTTTACCGTCAAGGAAGAGCCCTTCGTACCTATTGGATAGGAGGCTGGCTGGGTCTCGAAGCCGGTTTTGACACTGTGAGTAGAGAACATGCCTTGACCCAGCCGGGAATAGAACCCGGCCTTCTAGCCGGTAGCCCGTTCTAATACAGACTGTCCTATCCCTGCACCTATTTAATGTAATGTTGTATTTTAGCGTCCTCTTGCACTGATTCTCGTCCATGATATGTATGTATTGGCCACCTTGTAGTGCACTCAATCTCACATGTCACTTCACTACATGCTTCGGCATCACTGTGCCATCCTCAGGTGTTATTTGCGTCAAGCTATTGCATTGCTCGCCATCATGTGTCGTTTATAAAATTATCTAAAATGCACACTCTTCACTAACTATAATAATATATATCAAAATTTGTTAATATCCATCATCTTACACGTCTTAATTCAAATTCGCGTACTACATCAGTCTTCCACTATGGGAGTCGCTCTTCCTATATTTTGTGTATATTTTGTCTTGTGATGTGTCCTTCTTTTTGGCTGCGAGCGTTGTAATAAATTTTGATATATATAAACTTTATTATAGTTAGTGAAGAGTGTGCATTTTAGATAATTTTATAAAAGACACATGATGGCGAGCAATGCAATAGCTTGACGTAAATAACACACCTGATGATGGCACAGTGATGCCGAAACATGTAGTGAAGTGACATGTGAGATTGAGTGCACTACAAGACGGCCAATACATACATGTCATGGACTATTTAATGTAACTTATTCGTACAACTTTTCCAATCTATTGTGATTTGTACCGCTTAAGTTTGTATATACATACAAGTTACCACTGAGGATCGAAAGCACAGAAGGTTCCTGTCTTGCAGAACTGTAGTAGTATTTATATAAATATCAGATACCAACTTATTATGTATTTTATTTTGATTTTCTATTATACTTTTTATCTCACTTGAATAAGGTATGACACAAGCAGGGGCTTCAAAATATGAAAGAGGGGTGGACATCATGAAGCATAGGCAGCACTTGTAAATGAATACAGAATATGAACATTGGCATGTGTAAGGGTACTGTGGGGTGCCGCCTAGGGCCGGAATATTTGGAATCGGAACGCATCCATTACTCTACAACGGCTAGCAATTCCTAAGCAGCGAAACCCAGGAACTCGTTACCCCCGGAATGAAAGTCTAACAGTGGTGTATTCACCGTTAAAAACGAATTGTTTGAGGCAGACACGTATTCCTGCGTTCGTTGCGTAACAGAGGGCGGAATTAACCCTTTGACAAGGAATTCCTTATTCAGTCCGAGGACAAGTGATAACAGCAGCAGCTCCACCGTGACCCTGCGAGTCACAGAAGGTGACGAAAAGGGAAGTCTCAAATCTGAGACAGTAAAATATGGTCACGAATCCAAGGGACTCGGACCCGAGAAAGACTGCGCTGTCAAGGACCAGCAGCATTTACGAAATACAGGCCCATCCTCTCGTCAGAGAGGGCACCCCATGAAAACAAGACTGTAACTGTCAGACAGCAATAAATATTTGGTCATGAGCCCCAACTGACTGACTGGCCGCCAGTCGCAATGTGACTTCGACTTTGATTTGACTTGACTCCCGTGTGGAGGAGGGTTCGAATATCTCCACCGTAACCCTGCAAGTCGTAGGAGGCGACCAAAAGGGAAATCTCAAATTTGAGACAGTAATATATGGTCTCGAGTACCAAGGAACTCGGACCTGAGAAAGACTGCGCTGGTAAGGACCAGCATGATATAGGTATATAAAAGATAGACCCGTCCTCTTGTCAGAGAGGGCGCCCACGAAAAAATTAGACCGTGGCCTACTGACCGTCGGTCGTAAAATAGACTCAGACCAGTAGAGTTTGTATTCGACTTTAGAAGAGAACAGTTCTTATCCGACTAGAGCAGAAGTATTGTAACATTGGAGAAGAAACGTCTAAAGGATGTCCTAAGTGGAGAATAACGGTGAGTGTGGGTGTAAAAAGTAACTGTCCAGTAAAGATATTCATTCAAATTCGAGAACGCACAAAATTTCTTGTCGCGTTGCCTAGCAAACACGCGACAATACTTTTGATTATATATATATAAAAGCGCAAATGTTATAAATTCAAATATAACCCAATGATGTCCTAAATTATTTATATGTTTCGTCTCTTTTCCCCAAGCAATATGCTGTCTGAAGAATTCTTAAAATTATAAATACTGTTGCACATGAAAATCAAACACTTGTGTAAATTATGCTTTTTACATGGTATAATTCAACCTCCTATATTTGTTACATGTATACTAAATATTTGCACATGAGAGGAATACAATATACAATTCAAATATTTAACAAAACAAATAAAAGTATTATCCTACCTATAACATGGAACTCTGTTGGTTACACAGTAAAGAAGTTTTTTCATATTGTAACTGCATGACAGATTTCAGTTACAGAACACTTCATTCTAGTAATGTCTCAGAACAATATGAACTAAATGGAAATTAAAATTATCAGAATTCACGGGCTAGCCTTATTGTTAAAACTGTAGATGAGCCATAGCTCATGCAGTTAGACGCTTGTTTCTCATCTCCTATCCTCGAGTTTGGTCCCAGTTGACATCATGTGAGATCTGTGGTTGATGAAACAGCATTAGAGCAGATATTTCTCTGAGTTTCATCATTCTTCCCCTGGCAATCATCATTCCACCATTGTTCCATACTCATCTATCACTGCTTCGCTAAGGTATACAACAGTCCTGAACAGGCACCACATTATCATATGTTTGGTCCTTAAGCGAGTGCTTAGCTTCTGTCCTAGCATTTGACTGTTTGCAGAGTAAAAGCAGTTAAATCTGTTGTGACTGGATGTACTTTACTACTACAAAATAACTTAATCAAAAGCAAGCTTTAATAAATATACAGTATGTTACAGACAGGTATGTGGTAGTGTAGTTGGTTGATGCACTACGCTATAAGCTGGAAGGTCGAAGGTATGATTCCCAATGAGGTCACTGGAATTTTGCAATTGACCTAATACTTCCAGCCACACTACGGCCCTGGGGTCAACTCAGCCTCTAACAGATATGAGTACAAAGAATCTTCCTGGGAGTAAAGGGTGGTCAGCCAGCACGTAAGACCGACCATCTCACCATCATCTGTGAGCTGACTGTCTAGAAAATGTGGGTGCAATGTCTCACAACCGCGTGGGCCTCCACAGCTTATTACAGGGATAGTTTTACTTTATTTTTTACTTTTTACAGTATTATAGAATGATCTGATTACACCGTCCAGTGTGACTCAAAAGTATATATATACACACACAGACACACGTGTTACCTTTACATGTTTCGGTCAATTAATGACCATCTTCAGAAGGCAAACAATAAAATGTTGAGGAAACTACTATTACTCAAATCTTAGTACATCAACTTCAAAGTTGTCCAAAGTTTTATATATATAAAGATTTTAAAATAAGCTAAAATGTGAGTTAAAATATTAATAAAATTCTTAATATTTAAAATCTTAAACCGCTAAGGTTCGTGTTAAACTTTTAAAGTATGTTACAGACATAAAATATGCTTGAATAAAATTTTTGTTCACATACCTGTAAGGGGCCATAAGGCAATCAGTGGGTAGGAAGTGTCCTAAGCATCAGAATATTTCCAATTTAGCTAACTGTTCTCAACAGATCTGTGATTAACATCTGCAGAAAGGACAGGAGGAGGATATCGAGAAGAGAATTAGAATTACAATGAAAAGGAAACAGACTTATGGGATACTACAGCCAGGTGCTGGAAGGGATCAAAGAGAGAGAGAGAGAGAGCCGGTGATAAATTGAAAGAGAAAAAACTGTGGTCAGGTAGGAGAGAGTGGATATTTTTTGTCTATCAGTCAGTAAAGAATGAAAACAATGGTAGAAGATTAAAAAGATTTGGAAAATTACATAACCTGCAGCATCCAATGAAAAAAAGTTTCATCTGTACATGACAGTAATAACGAAATTCTATGTCAGCCATATGCAGGTCTGTTGGTGTGCTCAAAGAAACGAAAAGAACAAAACTAATGTGTTATCAGTCTGAAGATGTAGACATAGGTAACTTTAAGGACATCAAGAAGCCATCTTTACATTGTGACAACTGAGAGACATGCGAGATTCCAAGTTCTGACAGCAGTGGGATGTGATGCTGTGTAGCTTGGCTGAAAGCTAGCATGTTTCAGAGGAACCTGTTGATTCCATCTTCAGGGTGGAGAAGCTACTGTTATGTCCATCAGATCATGTTTATGATCAGCCTAATCTGTGTCCATTTGATTTTCATATATTCATTAATTAACATTAATTAATGGAAGTACGTAATACCTTGAATGTCTTAATATTCACAAAACATTTACAGCCTTAGAAACGTTCACTTCTTTACTCGTACAAAAATAAATATATGACAGACTGCCATTCTGGTAGACATGGTCTTCTGTGTTGACATTGTGTAGTCTTGTAGGTGGATACCAAAGTTTTGGGGGAATATACTGCCTCTATCTTCAGTGTGAAAGGGATTGGTGTCAGGACGCTACCATGTTACACAGAAGGGTTGAAAGGAAATTGTGTCACTCAGATGCAATGGAGGGGGTGAGGCAACAGAACCATGTTCTTGGCCAATAGTAATGCTACATACAAGACTACATGGTGTTAAAA